AAGGTGAATGTTTTTGCCATTAATCGTTGTGTTTACTTATTTATATCCAAAATTAATTAATCCCTGATTCTCTTTCAAGAAAAAACTCCCCTGCACTGTCCACAGTATTCAGGTATGTATTTCACAGTCACACTGGTTCAGTTTTTGGCAAAACAAAAAAAGTTACTGAATCGATTTCTAGCCGTTGAATCGAATCGAACCGTATCGTTCTAGATGAGCCAAATATCATTCTTGAATCGAATCGGAACCATGGAAAATGATATGAATTGAATCGTTGTAAAAATGAATCGTTACACCCCTACTAATGACTAATGATGACAGCAGCAGCAGGAGGCATCTGGCAGGACCACGGCAGCAGCACAACCACACACGTCACGCTGTCCAGGCACCGCTGTGATATCTTCTCATATAAAACCAGGGACAACAGCAACATGTAACAAAGGTAACGGCACATAATTTGGCTCCATTACAACTCACAAGGTTCACTGACAAAACAACTGTCTTATACTAAACACGTTTTCCAAGCAAATACAACATGCTAACGTTGTTAGCGCCAGCTTATGGAATTTTACATTGTATACATTAGCCTAGCAGCTAGCGGAGATTTCCTCTGCTCATATGAAGCCAGGATAAATCACACACAAGACTTAAAATGCTATTTTAGTGGAGGCTTTATTGTCTTCACAATTTATTGTTTCTTATCTGTGAAATACAAGTAAATACAAGCTTTGTTTCCACTGAGGGAAATGGTTTCAGCTTACAGAAACAGACAGGAGGTCTGCGTCACCGCAATGCTGAGCGAGCTGAGTGGGCGAGTCCAACTTTCTGTCAACAATGTGGGTGTTTTGAAAACACCCCCATTTTCACAGGTAACTTAGCCTGTCCCCCCGCCGCAGGAAATAATGGATTAATCCTGGAAAGCTGTTGATGTAGCACTTTTCTCCTTATGAAAGAAACACGGCGATTATTTGACCAATGAGAATTTGGTTGGAAGAGAGCATAGCGACCAAATAATCGACTAGTCGACCAGCAGACTACAGCCCTAAATTCGATATCATGATACCTGGGTCACAGTACGATATTATCACCATACGATATTACAATACTCTGTAGAGATTGGGTACGGCTGTGTCGGTGAATAAACGTGGGGGCGGAGTCACATACCTGGGTTCACGTGTTTTTAGCATGTAACAAAAGCCTTGGTTTTCGACAGCACTGTATGGACGCAGATCTTTGCACAGGAAGTAGGTGACTGACTATGTTATTTTCTGATGGTAGTTGTGCCGAGCTCAGTGTGTCCAATATTGGTTGATTTTTAGTGTTAGCTTGGCGTGCAGTGGCTAACGCAGCCTCTGGATGGTGAAGTGTGAGGAACACATTTATAGAGGTGTCCCGCTGCACCTCAGAGACAGCGTTTACCGATGGATCAGACTCGAAGAGGCGGTCGCTTTGGATGAATAATTTCAGGCGGCTTTTCGCAACCACATAAACAACAAAGGTAAGACACAGTCTGCAGTTGTTGATGTATGAAGGCGAGTTTTTTGGCGGTTCCTCAGGATTTATTGGAGGAGTTGTTTGAGTGGAGAATGAAGTGACAGATACTGGGAGTGTTGGAATGTGATCGTGCACCTGTACGCATGTGTGTGGGCAGGGCCTCTCGAGAAAAACAGTTGTGTCATACCTGTCTGTCAGAGTCCCTGAGGATTGTGGGTAGACTGGCCTGATTCTGTCCTGGAAGCGAGACAGGAAGCGGGTGGAGATGCTGAGTCGAGGGTTAAGGTAGTGTTTGTCCTCTGACGGCTGCAGCGTCCTCAGGTCGGCCTCGAACTTCTCTGAAAGGTCACAAACGCCACAGTGTGAGGAGACAGCACCGGAACACTGATGATGATGATGATGATGATGATGGAGAGTGTTTGGTACCGTCAGTCAGACTGGACGCCAGAGTGTCAAAGTGGTTCTTCACAGAGTTTCTGTCCTCGTCGTCCTCCAGACCCAAACTGCCCACAGAGCTGGCCTGACTCAGAGAGTCTGTGTCTGACAGGAAAGACCAGCATCACAAGTCTGATTTCACAAGAGTGACATCACCAAAACCGAACTCAGCATGGCGTCAAGGTTGGCACCAAAGATTAGTGTCACCAGTTCACCATCTGACCCCTGTGTCCCAGAGTAATGATGTTAGGTATAGTCAAAAACATGTTTTGTGAGGTCACAGTGACCTTGGACTCCATGATAAATTGTTTTTGCTGGTCAAAGTGGATGTTTGCACCAAATTTTAGGAAATCTCATAAAGACACTCCTAAAATGCGAAGTTCACTAGGATGAGACGCAATGTCACAAACATTGACAACCAAAATCTTATCAGCTCATCCGTTATTCCGGGTGAGTGTTTGTGCCAAATTTGAAAAAAAAAAATTACTCAAAGTGTCTTTTCAATATTGTGTTCATGAAAAAGAGATGGACACAAGGTCACAGTGAGCGTTGACCTTTGACCACCAAACTCTAATGAGGTCATCAGTGATTCAAGTGGACATTTGTGCCAAATTTGAAGAAATTCCTTCAAGGTGTTTTTGAGGGAATCAAATTGACAGAACCAAGGTCACAGTTACCTTGACTTTTAATCACGAAAATCTAATGAGTTCATTCTTGAGTCCAAGTGGACATTTGAGCCAAAAATTCCCTCAAGATGGTCTTGAAAAATCAAGTTCACGAGAATAAGACAGATGCTAGGTCACAGTGAGCATTGACATTTGACCACCAAAATTGAATCAGTTCATCTGTGATTCCAGGTGGACGTTTGTGCCACATTAGAAAAAATTCCCCTCAAGGTGTTCTTGAAATATCAAGTTCACGAGAATGAGACATCTGCAAGGTCACAGTTACCTTGACGTTTAACTACTACAATCTTATCAATTCATCGGTGATACCAAGTGAATGTCTGTGTCAGATTTGAGGACATTCCCTCAAGACATTATTGAGATATCACAATCATGAAAAAGAGACAGACACAAGGTCACAGTGACCTCTGACCACCAAAATCTAATCACTTTGTGGACGTTTGTGCCAAGTTTGAAGAAATTCCCTAAAGGCGTTCTTGAGATATCACTTTCATGAGAATCAGACGGACGGACAGATGGACAACCAGAAACCTATCTCCTCCATCCTCAGCTGTTGCCGTCATAGAAGCGTGAAAATAGCGTACGTCCAGTTTCACGCTACGGCTCTCACCGGTGTCGTGCTGCTGCTCCAGACTTCCTGCTGAGTCTTCAGAGCAGGCAGAGTCTGGACCCAGCTGAGTGCTCCACACTGGCTCCACCCTCTGACCTTTGACCTCCAGCTGGGTCAGAGAGCGCTCGGCCACGAGCTCCACATCAAACTCCCTGAAAACACACAGAGTCCATGACGAAGATGTTTGTTTGTTTGTTTGTTTGAGCTTCCTGAGTGTGACGCTCACCTGTCAGCCGAGGTGTCGGTGGTGCTGTTGGTGTCGGTGGTGCTGTTGGTGTCAGTGGTGCTGTTGGTGTCAGTGGTGCTGTTGGTGTCGGTGGTGCTGGGGTAGATGATGTAGCTGCTCCTGTTCTCACCTGGATTCTGCAGCACCTGAACATCACACACAGTCAGAGAGACGTCAGGTGTCTGTTCACAGCTAATCAGCAACCTGCCGAAAATTGCACTTCCTCTAATGACCACTGGAGGCCGACTGCAAGAGTCAGCAAGAACATAACCACAGCCTGGAAAACTGGAATAATTTTCCAGGCAGCGACCGTCCTCAAAATAACTGAGCTGAACTTTCCGGAAGCAGCTTCCTCTAATTTGTTCAATCTCTTTATAATCCCAAACATCACTTCTTCCTCCTCCTCCTCCTCCTCCTCCTCCTCCTCATCTTCCTCCTCTCTGTGCTCCTCCTCATCTTCCTCCTCCTCCTTCTCCTCCTCCTGACTCTTAGTAGGACTCTAGGAGCAGATGGTCAGAGGGTTCGGCTGCTCCGCCCACTAGCTTTGTACCTGCACCTCCTCTCCCAGCAGATTCTCCAGCCTCTGAGGGTGGAAGTCCTCCTCCTCCCTCTGCTCCTCCTCCTCCTCCTCTTCCTCCTGACTCTTGGTGGGACTTGGGGAGAAGTTGGAGCAGATGATCAGGGGGCTTGGGTGCTCCGCCCACCGACTCCGCACCTGGCGAGGCTCAGTTCCTGATTGGATGGCAGAAGAGGCTCCGCCCTGACCCTGCTGAACACACACACACACACACTACATTAAAATCAATGTGTAGGCTGATTGATTATCTGAATACTGATCAGGAACGATCAGATGGAACTGACCAGCTTTCTGAACCACATGGGAAGTTTCCCGTTGCTCTGAAGAGGCGGAGCATCTGAAACAACAACAACAACAACAACAGGACTCAACCACAAGAACATCACAGACATGTAATCTGACCCCAGACCTCCTCCTCCTCCTCACATAGAGCAGAGTCCAGTCTGTCTGGACTCCCCTGGGCCCCCTCCTCCTCTTCCTCCTCCTCCTCCTCCTCAGGCAGCTGAGACGAGGGTCCAGTGATGAAGGTCTCCCTCCTGAAACAACAGACACATCAGCTCCTCCTCCAGCTCCTCCTCCTCCAGCTCCTCCTCCCCCTCCTCGCACTCACCTGATGTTGTGCGGTCTGAGGCTGCAGGTTTCAGGTGCGGTGGTCAGTCTGAGGCCCCTCCTCTTCCTCATGGTGCTGGTCATCTGAGAGTCCAACCTCCACACAAAAACACAACTACACACAGGCACACGCACACCATTAACTACAATTATTATAATATTAATTAGAGACATAATGTCACAGTCAAGCTGACTTTTGACCTTTTGACCTCTATTATTTTATCCTGTTAGACATTTGTCACGTTTGTCAGAATTAGAGTATAAATTCTTCCGTTGAGGACAAAAACATGTTTTGTAATGTCACACTGACCTTTGACCTTTGAAATTTCTAATCACTTTATTCGTCAATCTGAAGAAATTCCCTCAATTGTTCCCTCCAATGAGATGGACACAAGGTCACAGCAACCTTGAGCTTTGACCCTTGACAACCAAAATCAAATCAGTTCATCCCTGATTCCAAGTGCCATTTGTGCCAAATTTGAAAGAAATAAAAAAATCCATCAGGTGTTCAAGAAATCTCATTAATAAGACTAAGACGGGCGCAAGGTCACAGTGACGTTGACCTTTGACTACCAAAATCTTTGTCAATTTATCGCTGAATCAAAGTCCAAGGAGATATTTGTGCCAAACTTTAAAGAAATTCCCTATAAGCGTTCTCGAGATATCGCATCGGTAGACAGATGCAAGGTCATACTGACTTTGATCTTTGTCAAGAAAAATCTAGTCAGTTCATTGTCAAGTCCAGGTGAACGTTTGGGCTAAATTAGAAGAAATTCCCTCAAGGTGTTCTTGAGATTAGGATGCACTGAATATTCGGTAACTGAATATATTCGGCCGAATATTGAAAAAAAAACACACATTCGGTATTCGGTGGAATAAGTGAAAAGCAAGGCCGAATAATAGTGGCGTTTTGATAACACAATCAAACGGCGTGTCATGACGGGCGGATTAAAATGTCGGCAGTGTGGCGATCCGTCCGTCAAGCACTCGCATTTGCGACTAAAATAGTTTTGAGCGAGCAAAATAGGCTTAAATCATTCAGCACGCTGTGCGAGCAGCCTACAGATTTCAACCAGCAGCAGAAACAAAAGGCGAATCCCACAGATTGTGGGTTGAACAGGGGTCACAGACACAGACAGAAATGTATTCCTGTCAAATACGGCGGCCATCGGCTTACCAGGCGACGGAGAAGTCGGCTCCAATAATATCCTCTTCTTGGTGTCATGACTGCCCAGAAGTACCTGAACAGCCGAGCCAGCCGAACACAGGTATGTGACGTGTCAGAGGAGAAACGAGCCGTTCAC